TTCGACCCTCCTGTGTGTTACTTTCAACCCTCCTTTCACCCTCCTGTGTGTTACTTTCGACCTTCCTTTCTACCCTCCTGTGTGTTACTTTCAAACTCTCCTTTCAACCCTCCTGTGTGTTACTTTTAACCCTCCTTTCAACCCTCGTGTGTTACTTTCGACCTTCCTTTCAACCCTCCTGTGTGTTACTTTCAACCCTCCTTTCAACCTCCTGTGTATTACTTTCAATCCTCCTTTCAACCCTCCTGTGTGTTACTTTCGACCCTCCTGTGTGTTACTTTCACCCTCCTTTCAACCCTCCTGTGTATTACTTTCAACCCTCCTTTCTACCCTCCTGTGTGTTACTGTCAATCCTCCTTTCAACCCTTCTTTGTGTACTTTCAACCCTCCTTGTTACTTCAATCATCCCTTTCAACCCTTCTGTGTGTACTTCGACCTTCCTTTCAACCCTCCTGTGTGTTACTTTCGACCTCCTGTGTGTTACTTTCAACCCTCCTGTGTGTTACTTTCATCCTCCTGTTACTTTCGACTCTCCTTTCAACCTTTCTGAGTGTTTCTTTCAACCCTCCTGTGTATTCCTTTCAACCCTCCTGTGTATTACTTTCGACCTCCTTTCAACCCTCCTTTCACCCTCTGTGTATTACTTTCAATCCTCCTTTCGACCCTCCTGTGTGTTACTTTCGACCCTTTCCTTCAACCCTCCTGTGTGTTATTTCGACCCTCCTTTCAACTCTCCTGTGTGTTTCTTTCGACCCTCCTGTGCGTTACTTTCAACCCTCCTTTCAACCCCCTGTGTGTTACTTTCGACCCTTCTGTGTGTTACTTTCGACCTTCCTTTCAACCCTCCTGTGTGTTACTTTCGACCCTCCTGTGTGTCACTTTCGACTCTCCTTTCAACTCTCCTGTGTGTTACTTTCGACCCTCCTTTCAACCCTCCTGTGTGTTACTTTCAACCTTCCTGTGTTCTTCAACCTTCCTGTGTGTTACTTTCGACCCCCCTTACTACTGCTCCTATTCGTCCTCTGCAAATCCTTTTCAGTTGTGTTCAGATAGGCTGCACAGCAGTCTTTCCCGTGGACACTGGACTTCCTTTATTTTTTCAGGGCGAATCCTGGGTGGAGAGTTCCCTTCGGAGGTAGCCTAGGGCCCAGACGACAGCTCAGGTTAAGCTTTGTGTAGGCAGGACCTGGGGAAGTGGTAATCTTTTGAACTTTGACATCCTGTTTTGAGATATGTTAAACACTTGTTTTTTTTTCCAAGAAAGGAAATTTAATCTACACTTAAATTTCTTTAACTACCTTTGAAGTTTTACTTTAGTTTAAAGTTTCTTTACTCACCATAGTTGCGTATATTTTTGATATGAAAAAAACCCCATTTCTTGTTTTTTGTCAATCTCGCTTCATATTAAAGGGGCAATATGTAGTTTTCAGCGGCCACTAGTGGTGTGGTTTTTTAAATTGCAACCTGGTGTATGCTTGTATGCATGCTCACACTTCTGACCACCAGGAAAAAGCTTCACACAACACGCTGGAAATCAGCAAACTCCCACTGCAACCTTAATATTTTTATGAGCTTGACTACTCCATGCTCATTTCATGATAACGTTGCATTTAATGAATTTAGCAATATGTCAGTGTTAGCTTGCCTTTTTAATAACTGTTTGTGTAACGTTATCTTTCACAGGAGGCTCAGCAATGTGAGCACAACTACATTTATTAGAAATGGTTAGTGAGCGGGAATGAATATTCTAAATGTGATTATTGCCACACTTTATATCAGTTTGACTGCAGTAAGTAAGGTACTACAGTGGATGAGCCTTCCACTGTTGTTTTCCTGCACCATTATGTTGCATTATCTTAACAGTTTAATGTGTTGAAAGGTTTCAGCATGCAATCACAGCCAATGGATTTCCCGGAAAATCTGACCCGGAGTCTTCACATAGGAATAGGCCTGCAGGCCGTCAGAGGAAACAGAGAAACCTGGCAAGTGGATAATTTTTATGTGAGGTCACAACCTTTTCACACATATGTTGAGTATTTTTGGTATCCTAATTTTTGAATCATCATTATACATTATGTTATACACGATGAGTCTGCATGATGAGTTGTTTCTCCAATCTTATATATGCAAATGTATACAAAGATTTAAATCAATCACTCTGTATAATGATTTTGTTTTAACCAAAGACCATAATTGTGATGAGTCTACACTCCAAGATATAAAAGGCCTAGGACCAAAGACCATTGCATTAATTGTTGACATGCATGGAGAAAAGGATCCAGGTGCAGGAGGGAGGATTGTGACCATGAGTGCAAATTTTATCTTTGACACGAATCCAAATTATTATCTGTGGCATGAGTGCAGGGATGTATGTGTTACAAGAGTGATCCGCATCAAGCCTGAGCGTAGGAGAGAGGTTATTACCACCCACCAAGGAGGAGTAGTACACATGCATGTGGACAAATGGAGGTCAGAAGATAAGTAAACACCACCAGCAAAAGGAGATAAGGAGCCTTTTGTGGTAAGAATGTCAGTCCAAAGAGGCCACCTGCATGAAAAAATACTTTCCTTGGAAACCTTGGAAAGTCCCTAAAATTCCCTGGAAATCACTAGGATTTTACTATGAGCAACCTTTGATTATGTTTTTGTCTTGTTAAAGAAAAAAACCCTGAACAAACAAAGTTTTGTTAAAGTTATCCAAACGTGTACAGAGTATAAGAGCTACTAGCAGACATCTGTTACTGGACGAAGGACCAACAGCCTGCTGTAAGAAACTGTTAATAGACAGGTTGCATAAGACCTCATCAGTCACTGTTAACAGCCTCAGGTGACCTGCTTCACGACCGACTTTCCTGTAACACCGTTTTCCTGTGTTTTCCAACCAGCTCACATGACATCAACGGCAACCATTGTCATACACTCTTACATACCCACAGTTGTTGTGTTTTTCTAATGACAGACAGGTGACTTCATGAACCAATATTATTTATTTAATTTCAGCGTTGTTTTGATTTTCCCATGTTTTAATGTTCATTGACACTGAATGTATCGGTAGCCATGCTTTTGACCAGACAAAAATCTTGTCACAAATTCCCTCACATTAACTTCAGCACCTCAGATAAAGTGCAGCTCACAGTCCCAAACAGAGGACATCTGTGCCTCAGTTTTAGATGTTTATTTAAAAAAAAAACCTCTTTCAGTTAGTTACTCACAGTGCATCTTGCCGATGTCGCATCAGCTGGGTGGAGTTCACTCGCCCCGACTCGTTATTCATTTTACACATTTGTTTTTCACTGCGTGAGAAAATTGATGTGTAGCGTAAGAGCGTGTGAAAATTGTCAATTGCCTGAGTCCAACGCTCGATGCCAGACAGTTGGCAGCTCGGGTGTTAAAGGTATTAAGCAAGTTTAGCTTTGCTAGTCTGCCTAACTGTTAGCTCCTCACCTCCTCCTGTCATACATGGGCTACATGGTGCTTCTTAACACTGTATTTGGCCAGAAATTTGTCGTCCCTATCATTTTATTTTCCTCACTGTGTTTTGGCTTTTCTTTTTCTGGGCCCCTGACAGGCTGCAGTGTTTGTTTACAGTGACTTTCTTTACATATGCATGCTCTGCACATCTGGCCAAATGTTTCGACCATACCATTCACAATAACAGCGGGGGGTGTGTTATCAGATGACGTATGAAGTATGAAATATGTTGTAATGATAATAATACATTTATTTATCATGTAAATACATCTAAAAGGTTTCCTTATTCATATTAGACTGTAAGTAAAGTATTGTCCTTGATCCGATTTACGGGTCAACCATAGACCTTTGCATGGACCCCCTGGGCCTTGGGCCGGGGTTATCTGTGCCCTTTGATCAACCCTGACGACAGGTCTGGTTATCAATTAGCTTTCTGTTGACAAATGCCAAAGTGTTGGCAGTCATGTTAAGCAAGAAACCACACAAATTCTGATAAGGAAATTTAAAGATGAAGAGGAAACTGCACATCTGACCGGCAGAAGAGAGATAAGATTAAGCAAGTAAATGAAGCTAGAATGCTCATATGGACAACACAACAACTGGACATGGAGCACGTACTGGTGGTGTTCATGTTGCTCTGGAGCTCAGGTAGGACTTCAGGACAGTCTTTTTAGCCTCAGTGACTGCTGCTACAGAATGAGTTTGGTTTGACTGGCATGAACTTTATTTAAACCAATATTTTAAATTAAAATCAAGCTAGGTTAGAAAGAAATTTGGGGAAATGACAGGCTGGGAAAGGGATCTTGGATCTCAGACATTTCTAAAGAACCGTGATGAGACATAAATGTGTCATAGATGTATATGATTGGTTTTATCTTATTTAAATGTTCTGTGGTTCTTAGGTTATTGATTACCATGAATGCAATCATTTGCCTTGTTTTCCCTTTTTGCAGAAAAAAATTTTAATAGATTTTTTCATGACTCTCCCCAGGTCTCCAGGGGGAGGAAGATCACACTTTTAAAGGTAAACAGAGAAAGTAGAAATATATTTACACAAGAGATTATTTCACTAATGAAACTCTTACCTGTGTTCAGAGACTGATGATATCCGCTTGGTGGGAGGATCCAGCCGCTGTTCTGGTTTGCTGCAGGTGAAACGCCAGGGAGCTTGGAGACAGGAGGATGACCGTGGCTGGGACCTGAAGTTAGCAGATGAAGTTTGTAGACATCTGGACTGTGGTTCTGTGGTTCGGGCTTCCTCAAGTTTTCAAAAACCTTCATGGAGAATCAATCCTTCCTGTATTAATTTAAAATCTAGACCGAGGAAATGTTTGACAAAAAGGTCCTCACATCTTCTTACCAGTTTGGAGATCACCTGCTCAGGTAACGCCATCCGTAGCCAAAAAACAAAGACACAACTCCCAGAAAGCTCAGAGAATGATAGGATTCCATTTAACCGCTAACTGGATTTAGTGTCATTTGCAAAGTTATTAAAATAAATTTACATTAAATTATATAAATTAACATTAACAAAGATGTTATTTTAGGATGTTATTTTATGCAGATTTTTGTTTATTGTGTAATTTCTGGGCACCCTAGTATATTTACTATAGTACATGTTTTACATCTTGGTCATCTCTGTAATACTATTGGGTTGCGATATCCACTAACTGATATTGATTTGAATTTGCTGTCTGATGTGTCAACAAGAAAAAAGAAAATTATTATTGTTTATTTAATTGTTATTATAGATTCCTCAGGAAAGATGTACCTCTGCTCTATATTGTGAAGTCTATCAAATGAAATGGTTACACCTATATTAAGACTGGTATGTTTAAAATTTACAGTGTTGATCTGCCACTAAAGGGACTCCTAACTGTTATGTCTCCTAACATGTCCCACCCAGCTTTTCCAGAACTGTGAAAAGCTGGGTGGGACAAGATGAGTCTTACAAATGGGAATAAGACCAAAGAGATCTTGAGAGAAACGTTAAATCTTGCCTTCTTTCTCACCTCTGTACACCTTGCCATCCATGCGTCATTGTTAGTTACAGCTTTACTATTCCAAGTTAAATTGGAACAAGTTACAAAAATTGTCAGATGTATCCCTCCAAATTGTGACGTTGGAAAGGCGTGGGAAGAGGGAGTTTCAGACACTGATCGACATCACTGCAAGCACTCAGTTTGAGGTAAAATATTAAGTCTTTAGAGTTGACAGAGTTGACTCGCTTTTAGCCCGCCGTCCTCTGTTTGCCATTGCAGAAACCCCCCCCGAATGTAGCTGGATGTAGCAATGCCGCACGTAACATCCGCAAGACAATGTTCATTGTGACACACACCCATAACTCACACAGCTGTCTCTTGATTTAAGTTAGAATTTCAACTTTACTCAGAATGTAAAGACAGAATAGCTTTGTGACAGTCTTATAGCTGTGGTTTCCTCTGCCTTTGTTGCAGCAGCGTTGGCTGCAGTGGTCTGTAAGCTGACTGGCCGGCTGGCCCTTTAGCTGCCGGCATCACTCTACTCCGAAAAAGTTTAAGCACATTTTTACAAAATTGTAAAATACACTCACCTAAAGGAGTGAGTATTTATCTGAGTATTTCACAATCTGCTCAGTTACTGGGATTTTCACGCACAACCATTTCTAGGGTTTACAAAGAACGGTGTGAAAAGGGAAAAACATCCAGTATGCGGCAGTCCTGTGGGCGAAAATGCCTCGTTGATGCTAGAGGTCAGAGGAGAATGGGCCGACCGATTCAAGCTGATAGAAGAGCAACTTTGACTGAAATAACAACTCGTTACAACCGAGGTATGCGGCAAAGCATTTATGAAGCCACAACACGCACAACCTTGAGGCGGATGGGCTACAACAGCAGAAGACCCCACCGGGTACCACTCATCTCCACTACAAATAGGAAAAAGAGGCTACAATCTGCAAGAGCTCACCAAAATTGGACAGTTGAAGACTGGAAAAATGTTGCCTGGTCTGATGAGTCTCGATTTCTGTTGAGACATTCAGATGGTAGAGTCAGAATTTGGCGTAAACAGAATGAGAACATGGATCCATCATGCCTTGTTACCACTGTGCAGGCTGCTGGTGGTGGTGTAATGGTGTGGGGGATGTTTTCTTGGCACACTTTAGGCCCCTTAGTGCCAATTGGGCATGGTTTAAATGCCACGGCCTACCTGAGCATTGTTTCTGACCATGTCCATCCCTTTATGGCCACCATGTACCCATCCTCTGATGGCTACTTCCAGCAGGATAATGCACCATGTCACAAAGCTCCAATCATTTCAAATTGGTTTCTTGAACATGACAATGAGTTCACTGTACTAAAATGGCCCCCACAGTCACCAGATCTCAACCCAATAGAGCATCTTTGGGATGTGGTGGAACGGGAGCTTCGTGCCCTGGATGTGCATCCCACAAATCTCCATCAACTGCAAGATGCTATCCATCAATATGGGCCAACATTTCTAAAGAATGCTTTCAGCACCTTGTTGAATCAATGCCACGTAGAATTAAGGCAGTTCTGAAGGCAAAAGGCGGTCAAACACAGTATTAGTATGGTGTTCCTAATAATCCTTTAGGTGAGTGTATAAACCTTTCTGGGACAAAGTGCAGGAAAGCTCAGGAACAGTTCTCAAAAACATGCACAGACAATCAAGGACTGACTGGTATTATGACTGGCATACACTGTAGGACCACTTCATTATATTGTAATGTTTTATTTTGCCATGCCCTATAAACTCTAGTCTGTCTTTCTGTGTCTCTCGCTCTCTTCCTCTTCAGACTCTGTCAGGCTGGTTAATGGGACTAGTCTGTGTTCAGGCAGACTGGAGGTGAAGTCTAACCAGTTGTGGTCCTCAGTGTGTGAAGATGACTTTAACCAGCAGAATGCAGAGGTGGTCTGTAGGGAGCTTGGCTGTGGGGCTCCTTCAGTCCTCCAGGGGGCGCTCTATGCAGGAGTAGAGGGGCCCATGAGGACCAAAGAGTTCCAGTGTGAAGGCCATGAGTCTGCTCTCCTGGATTGTCAGATTGACAGCTCAGGCTCAGCTAGAGACACCTGCTCATCTGGCAAAGCTGTTGAACTCACCTGCTCAGGTAGGAGAGGAGCTGCAGCTTTGTTTTGGACTGATTTTCTATTTAATAAATGTGACTTCATCTATTTTTAATAATTACTCTCGTCTGCCCAGAGCCCGATAATGTCCGGTTGGTGGGAGGATCCACTCGCTGTGCTGGTGAACTGGAGGTGAAACAACAGGAAGAGTGGGAAAAGGTGGACGACCAAACGTCTGGCTGGAATCTAAAGACAGCAGATGTTGTGTGTGAACAACTGGACTGCGGCTCTGCTGTTTCTACAGGGAAGAGAACGATTAGCCAGTACAGAACAATATGGAGGATTGGATCAACTTGTCTTCAGTCCGAATCTGCAGTTAGAGAATGTTTATTTACAAAGCTTGACACTTCACTTTCCAACCTGGAGATCAAGTGCTCAGGTAACTCCAGAAATACCTCAACTATAACAATAATCTTTCTTAGTCTTTTCTTTATTTGGTGACGGTTTTGTAAAGTAAAAATCCAAATGAGGTACCATCCAACCTAAAGTAGATCAAGAATAAGTTCTGTTAAGCTCAGTTTTGCATTCCACCTGTGTGCCACATTGTTACAGGCCCACGCAGCAAGGCATAAATGCATAGAAAATGAAAAGGCGGCCACAAATGCACACTGACGCCATCTTTAAAAAAGAGTTATTGAAAGCTTCATTCTTTTCACATTTTTATTTACAGCATTATATGTTGATATTTAGATCATAATAGGCTGTATATTAACTTACTAGGAGAGAAACTGTAGTTCTATGTAAAATCAGAACTGGCCTGTAGCTGGAAAGAATAGGTAAAAGACAGGGATGTACTGGGACTGAAATTCAGCCCGGGACTTTGAGATGGAGAGCCTTTTATGCGAGCGAGTGTGGGGAGCGGGGCGTGGTGAAAAATGACTTGTATATAGTCAGTTTCATTATGATAAAGACCTTCAAGAAACTTTTGTGACACCCGCCTCTTAAGTTTGTATAAGCACAAGGCACCGCTGCACTGAACAAGACCACTTAGCCAAGCCTGAGTCCGTCAGAAATCTAAAATAGTTAAATATAATCAAAAATTACAATACAGTCCCATAAAATAGAGCAGTGTGTATGCATAAAAATCTAATTCCTCATCTTCAGCTCTGAGTAGGCCTATCCCTGGCTCAGCTCCCCTGTGCTAGACCCTGACTCTGCTTGTACTGATTGTGCAGCTACATATGAATGTTAAGAACATCCCAGCAACCCAGCCCTGCACATGTACCCCCCTGTACCTGTCAAGAAATTCCCCTACAGCCTTCTTCAATGCAGTAACACAAGTTCTAAAAGTTCTATGTTGACATTTTCCTTACATGCTACACATCCAAAGAATTTTTGTAGCTGTTGTCATTTATTTTGTGTTGCTCTAAATTCAAACTCTCTGTCTGCATGTTTTACTCTCTCTCCCTGTCGTCCTCTTCAGGACCTGTCAGGCTGGTTAATAGGACTAGTCCATGTTCCGGCAGACTGGAGGTGAAGTCTAACCAGTCGTGGTCCTCAATGTGTGAAGATGACTTTGACCTGCAGGATGCAGAGGTGGTCTGCAGGGAGCTTGGCTGTGGGGCTCCTTCAGTCCTCCAGGGGGCGCTGTATGGAGAAATGGAGCCCCCAGTGTGGTCAAAAGAGTTCCAGTGTGGAGGCCATGAGTCTGCTCTCCGGGACTGTGGAAGCTCAGGCTCAGCTAGAGACACCTGCTCATCTGGCAAATCTGTTGAACTCACATGTTCAGGTAGGAGAAGATCTGCTGCTTTGATTTGGTGTAATCTCTGTTGTAATGCAAGTTACTTTACTTCTTTAACTAATTACTCTCTTGTATCTGTTCAGAGCCTGATGACGTCCGGTTGGTTGGAGGAGCCAGCCGCTGTGTCGGTAGACTTGAGATGAAACGGAAGGGAGAGTGGAGACCAGTAGCTGAGTACTTCCTTAACTGGAACCTGTTGTCCGCAGCTTTAGTTTGTAGGCAGCTGGACTGTGGCTCTGCTCTTTCAGCAGAAAGAGTTATAAGTGATGAATTATACAAACGAGAACCATGGATAATTGCACCTTCCTGTGGTTCGTCTGAGTCTGCAATCAGAGAATGTGATTTATTATCGCTCGGGTATGGTTCTAATAGAAGGGTTCTAAGCCTGGAAGTCACCTGCTCAGGTAACGGCATCAATGAAAACACAGGAATCCTTATAATCTCTTACCTGCCTGTTCATTTTTAAACTAAGTCATCTGAATAAGATTTCAATTTATCCATTATCAATATCTCCTGCTAATAAACAAATCTTGTCATCATACTGTGTTCAGTGTTCGCTTTGACAAAACAAATGAAGATGAGGAATTTTATTTTTCTTAAAATGCAGACTAAATGTTTCATCTCCCACCGTGTTCACAGATATTCTGGCTCAGCCAAACATCTCCTTCTCTGCCTACACTGACGGGGATTCTGAGGCCAAGCAGCAGGGGCTTCAGGTGCTCATGGGCTCCAACTTCACCATCAGCTGCTCCATCCTGCCACAGTATCCAGGAGGCTCCTTCCAGCTTATCTTCACCAACTCCAACACAACACAGAACTACACCCTGCCAGCTGTCAATCACACTGCCCATTTCCTGTTCTCTGCTGCAGACCACACCCACCAAGGGAACTACAGCTGTGTTTATCACATCTATGTTTTCTCCCATAACTTTTCTTCTGAGAGCCAGCCACTCCATCTCACTGTCTCAGGTAACTTCTTAGACAATCTGGGCCCAATAGGGAAATGTGACACTGAAAGGCTAGAAAGTACTACTGTATTTATCTTACAGACTAATCTAATGGATAAGGGACATGGAAACAGTAACTACGTATAAAGTTCATAAAAGTTTGATTGCCGGAGTGCAGATAAGTTGAGTGCATTCTCAACAGGACAATACAACACAATTTAGTTTTGGTTTATAGATTATCTGCTTATTTGAGAACATACAATACAGAACAATTATTATACAATTATTTGACTGCATGAAAATATATTCAGTGATAATGAGACACCAAGTCTTCACTTCCATCCAGAAAACCAGCAGTCTAACGATGTTTTAATTTTTTGTCCATGACACACAAGACAGAGGATAAGGAGAGCAACTTTGTGAGGAACTCAAACGCTAAAAGTCAGCAAAAACAAGATTTATAGCATCAATTCCAACTGAAATGAACTTGCTTTTTTTTCGCTATTTGCTCTATACAGATGAGTATTAGGGCCACATGTGAAAAATGTATTTGAGCTCTGAGTCTATCTCAGAATTTAGACTTAGACTCAGAGCTCAAAGACACTTTTCACATGTGGCCTCTCCTCTTCTGTTGCCCGTGAATAAAATGTCCTGTGTTCTCCTTTGGAGATATACATATCTTATACAGCCAGTCAAATCAGATGAATCAAATTAGGACTTGTGATTTCTAAATATTTTTCCTCTCAGTTGAAAATACAAAGCATGCAGATTTTTTTTTTTAAAACCGAACAAATTAATCTTCAAAAGCAAACTGCTGCACACCTGCTCTTATATGAACTGATGTAATGATTGTAAATCTGTTTCAGGGTTTTTGGAACCATTAATGACCATATTCGGGCGAGAGGGTGGCGCTAGCTAGCTTGGTTAGCATGGTGCATCCACAATTTATGTCTGTGATATTAATTGTGATGCTTAATTTTTGCTCAAAACAACCGGAAGAAATTAACCCCCTACTCTTTACAGGTCAGCATGCTAGCGACTTGTTCATCCACTGCTTAATTATCTATTTTACTCTAAATGGGACCATATTTCACTAAATGAACATCATACTGTATTGAAGAAGACTTGAAACTAGCGACTGAAACCAGAAACTCACTAGGAAAATGTTTACTGAGGTAATAAATCAAGTGAGAAGTAGAAGAATTTTGTCACTGAGTGCAATGTAATCAGACTTCTTTTTGCAACTAGTGGAGTCGCCCTTAAAGCCATTTTTTGCCATCTCTCTGTAGGCCACCAGAGGACAAATGCCAAGATGAGAGGACAACACTGAGCTCCATCACTTTGGTGGTTGTAGTGAACAGCCTCATTCAATAATACCCCTTGCCCCACAACCAAAGGAGGTGAAGGAATCACAAACACACCAAGCTGGTTCCCTGTGGATCTAAAGACCACACTTTATTATTCAAACACCATAATGGTGTCCGTCTCTACACTGTCCAGAAGAACAAACTGTCTCCAAAACCTCCAAAAAGTTGCTATGGTGAAAAAAATCAAGGATGAGCTGGATTACACTCAGCTGTTTGCTCAAAGGGGGCTCTCACATACTGTCAAGTAAGCTGAGATCCCAACGCTGTTACTATCAGGTCGCATAGAAGAAAGCTGCAGCCATTCTCCCTTTAGTAACAACAGTGAGGAAAAGGGAAGTGTAACATACTTCCATCTGCAAAACACAGAGCTTAACAATGCTACATGCAATATAATGAATAATGATTAAAAGAGAGTTTGATTGAACATGATATGATGATGACTGAAAATCAGCATCTCATTGATACTGAACATGAATACATTAAAATGATAATTTCATGGTCAAAGAATTAATATAGTCAAAGTAAGGAGAGCAGCAGAGGATAACCACGTCCAAACCATCCAAAGAATTATTGGACTCTGAAGTTTCTCTTGTTCAACTGCATCGTGGACTGAAGACTTTCCGAGGCACTTTGGAGAAAGTCTCAAGTTTCTACAAGATTCTACAGCTCCGCAGTGGAGGGAGGATTTACATGCCAGGACAACTTCTTCCCCTCCCTCTCTCTCTGAAAAAAGACATCATAAATTACTCAAGCTCAGCTTTTTTTAATCAGGTTTTCAATTTTAATCATTTTAATCAATTTTAATCAGTACAAGTTGTATGCTTGCCTTTGCTTAATTTTGCAATAAAAAATATAACCACTGCATTTAAAGAACAAGTAGTAGACTTTATTTCTTCACTAAGGTAGTAATTCATTAAGTAAAGTGTGTTTAACATCTTTAAAGTTCGTATAGGTTGCTCTAGCCAAGAAATTAACTTATCCTTGGGGCCCATTCTCCTGGCCACTATATATACTGAACAAAATTATAAACGCAACACTTTTGTTTTTGCCCCCATTCATTATGAGCTGAACTCAAAGATCTAAGGTTTCTGGACCCCCACCAGTACAGTGAAACTGCACGTTTTCAAGTGGTCTTTTATTGTGGCCAGCCTAAGGTCTTTTATTGTGGCCAGCCTAAGGCACACCTGTGCAATACCCATGCTGTCTGATCAGCATCTTGATCTGCCACACCTCTGATGTGGATGGATTATCTCAGCAGAGGAGAAGTGCTCACTAACACAGATTTTGACAGATTTGTGAACACTATTTGAGAGAAACAGGCCTTTTGTGTACATAGAGAAAGTCTTAGATCTTTGAGTTCAGCTCATGATGAATGGGGGGAAAAAACCAAAAGGGTTGCGTTTATAATTTTGTTCAGTGTACTATGCTAGCGACCATACCAAGTGCACCGATCAATAAGAAGAGAGCTGTCGTTAACGAGCTAGGATGAGTTGGTATTTGGCTCTGGGGCTATTCAGTTGGGTGCCATTTCAGAGTAAGCTGGATAGGCATCCAGATGAGTTAGTTAGAAGGAACAAATCTCACCGACACCAGCTTAAACAGTCCTCGGTCATACCTATTAGGGTAATACCCATAGGCCTGGAGGATCGGACCCTTAAGACAGAGAACTGGACCAGTACCTTCTGGAAAGGGATAACTCGGTATCTAACATCACTCAAGGAGAGGGAGGTCTACCACCTTTTGTACTTAACATCTGTGTGTGAACGGAGATAAAATCGACAGACACAGGACATAAAGTCTGATACTCTTTCCTGAGACAGAGGACTGAAAGTAGATCCTTATAACCAACATTGTCATACTATTGCAATCACAATGTAAACGGAATAAACATTCTAATAATCATGTGCAGAATGTATCCTTGATATTGTTAGCCAAAATCCGTTTTTCTTACTGTTAAAATGATTGAATTAACTAACTGTGTTAGCATGGCCCTTTTTCATTAGCTTTTCTTGTTATCTTGTTTTATCATTAGGAATTATGTTTCAGGACATAATTATATGTAGGAAGGTTGAGCTTCAGAAATGTTTTGATGACGTGAAATATATTTCTGTTCTTTATTAATTACTGATATGATTGTTTAACTGCCATTCTATTATTATTATTATAACATATTATTATAATCATATATAATAAGCATTTATGCATACTTACAGTTAAATTTCCCTTAAACAGAGAGAATCTTAACAAGAATGGGCAAAACCCGACCTCCACCCCCTCTGCCCACCCCTCGAAGAATTCTGTGATGAAAGCAGAAACTCTTTTGAACACTCCTGAGCTTTTAAAACTTGCGCCCGAGGACAGTGATGAAAGGACAGCATTGTAAGTGGGGAATAAGTGGTGTCGTAGACCCCCTTCGCTGTTAAGCGAGGGCTTCTGGGGGTCTTCGCCAACACTTATCCCCCACTTACAATGCTGTCTTTTCATCAGGAAACTTAACAAACGTTACCTCTTGGCCTCAGGTGAAGATGCCAACGATGGTCACACTTAACCTTGTTTGGATGACTGAGAACCTTCACAGACATGTTACATTTAATGAATTTAGCCAACGTAATTTGTCAGTGTTAGCTCGCCTTTTTAATAACTGTTTGTGTAACGTTATCTTTCACAGGAGGCTCAGTAATGTGAGCACAGCTAAATGTATTGGAAATGGTTAGTGAGCGGGACTGAATATTGTAAATGTGATCATTGCCACACTTTATATCAGTTTGACCGCAGTAAGTAACGTTACAGTCCAAAAAGGCCATCTGCATGAAATAATAACCTCTGCAAAAACACCAGAAAAGCATATTGGAAAGTCCCTCCAATTCCCTTGAAAGATTTTACTATGAGCAAGAAAAAAAAGCTCTTTTTGCACTCCAGTAGGGAAATTGCTGTCTATTTTAGGAAAGATTTTTATAATGGTGGATACATGTTTTGAGTATAAGAGCTACTAGCACACATCTGTTACTGGACCAAGGACCAACAGCCTGCTGTAAGAAACTGTTAATAGCCAGGTTACATAAGACCTCATCAGTCACTGTTAACAGCCTATGGGGACCTGCTTTCATGGCCGAGCGTCCTGTAACACCGTTTTCCTGTAGGCGAATACAGCTGGAGAGCCTACCTAACTCCAGGAAGCTGCAAAACAGAAAGGCAAAATATATCCTGTGGTCCGTGTTGATTTCAAAATAAGCTCTTAAATCCATAAATTTATAAATTTGAGGATTCAGCTTTCAGAAAATTAAGATTGAAGGAACTACAAATTTTGTTTTGTTATGCAGCCTTGTCCTGTATAATGAAAAAGAGCCTGTACCTTGTAGAGTGGCTGGGTGAACAGAGTAGGATGGTCAAGCTGCACACCCACATGGACTGCTCAGCTGTCACACAACACATTGGAGCAGCGTTCTTCTGAATTCATTGTTTAATCTTGAGACCACGCCTCTCTCACAGCAATAAGGTCCTGGACTGAGACCTCGGTTAGCCCAGGCCTTTCTTTGTGGAGCCTTTCTTTTGTTTGGGTGGGTTTCCCCCGGGTGCTCCAGTTTCCTCCCACCATCAAAGACATGCATGCTAAAATTCATAATTCTGCCAAAGTAATTGTTCATTTTCTTCCACAGAAAAGAGATCATAAAGATCATAAGCAAGACGTTGTCACTGCCCTCTGCTTCAACTCTAAGGTCCTGTTCACATATTTATTCAGGAGAGGACTGGGTTAAATTGAGTATTTAGCATGATCTATTTAATTAGAAGAGAACAGGTATTTGAGCAATAACAAAATATATTTGCTGTCATGTCTTTCCAGGCCAGTAAAAACCAGAGGCTGGGACGAGAGAACACTGAGATTGATGAGTATGTTCTTGGTGGTTCCAGTACTGAAGACTGGCTAGGTGATGGGGCTGAAGCATCTCCAAGGTGGATTCAGACATAAGAGTAGTGAAAGCAGTGAAATATTTTAGAAGTGAATATACTAATGTATAATAATTATACATCTAAATTGTAGATTTTACTGAGCTAAAACAGTTTAAAACAACAATATGTCTCTTGCAGTGTAGCTGAATCATTTCTTTTTTGCCTAAATTTCTCTCAGCTCTGTTGTCCTTGGTCGCTGCTAACTCTGCTATCTCCCCTGTTTAGGGTCCTTATAAAATAAGGATGAAAAACCAAAACTGTCTTTGAGTAAGTTTATGTCACATTTGCAAATGGGCTTGTGGGTCTACATAAGAGAAAAGGGAAGGTCTGTCTCACATACTTCGTTGCTAGAAATATGTTATATACCATAGGTTCCTGTTTTTCTCTGAAGACATGCAGCCCAGGCCTTCCTATTCTGAGTTAACTGTCACACCCTGAAGCCATAAATAACCAAAATCAGGCAAAGTTTATCACTTTAATGTTAACAGAGAAATAAAAATCTAGCATTTTAAAATGCATGTTCCATTACAAACCCCTCAAAGTTACAGTGAATTAAAGTGATACAGGTTTTACAAAGGGATTGTGGTAGAAGGATGAAGCTGCAGGTGACTTTATAATAATAATCCTTATTTGTAGAGCACTTTTCAAAAACAAGTTACAAAGTGCTTTAAAAAGTGTAAAGACAATAATACCCAAGAGACAATAATACAAAAAATAATACAAGATAAAAGCAAGAAAACATTGAAAAGACTAAAATACACGTTTAAGATAAATATAAAATTAGTAAAATAGAATAAAATAAAAGGGATAAAATAAAGTCAAATTAGATCGGGAAAGGCTCTCCTATAAAAGTATGTTTTAAGAAGGGACTTAAGAGTTCACTGACTTAGCCGACCTGATTTCCTCAGGCAGGCTGTTCCAGAGCCTCGGGGCCCTGACAGCAAACTTTACTAATGTACTGTGACATGGCATCTTGTAAGTAAAGAAGAAACTGGCAATCAGTGCAAATGAACTAAATCTATGGTGATGTGATACTGCAAAAACATTCTACGCAGGCCTACAACACTTTTAAATGGGATAAAGTGATAATTAAAATATTAAACCCCTTCAGGCTCCCCAGAGATCAGAACACAGTCTGGTTCCAGTAATTAAATGGTGCTGCAGTAAATGTAACTAATGAAAATGTTTTTATAAGTAAAAACATCATGAGGGAACATATGTCAGTATACCATTATCATGTTATCAATTAGCTTTCTGTTGACAAATGCCAAAGAGTCATTTAAGCAAGAAATGACACGGAGCCTGATAAGGAAGTTTAAAGATGAAGAGGAAACTGCACATCTGACGAGCATTGAGAGCTGTAACAGAGTATGAATTTAAGCCGGTAAATGAGGAAGCTAGAGTGACAGGTTTGTGTGTGGACAACACACCAACTGGACATGGATCACGTACTGGTGGTTTTCATGTTGCTCTGGAGCTCAGGTAGGACTTTCGTCTCTTTAACCCCACTGACAGCTGCTCACAGTTTGGACTGAGTGGCATTTATTTTAACCAATATTTTAAATTAAAATCAAGCAAGGTAAGAAAATATAAGAAATTTCAGGAAGTGACAGGCTAAGAAAGAGAGCTTGGACATCAGACATCTCTAGAGAGCCGTGATGAAACTATAGGATGAAATTATATATATCTCCTTTTTTTCATGCACATCTAATTTAAATGTTCTTTGTAATGTGTTGTTTGATGCCTCTGATGAAAGTTAGAAGAGGTCAAAACTTCCACTCCCAATTTTTTAATCCCACTTTAATACTAAAACCAACGCTTAATCCTCAAATGGGCCTTAAAAGAAACAATGACTGGCCAAGATGTCTCAAATTGGTGCTCATAAAAGTACAATCCACAGTTTTTTCTTCCTTGTGAAGACA